AACAGATATTTGCATTTTTTGTAGATGATGAAGCACTTAATTGCAGTTTCCTATATCTCTCATAGACTTTGGTGGTCACTTGATAAGTCAACAAGATAATAAAATCTCAGGAACTTGACAATCTCCAGAGTTCTTCCTGTCAGTTCTAGAACCACGGCACTATTTATATAAAATATTCCTTTATTAATTGTATATCATAAAATACCACAGAAACAAGGAATGTTACAAAACCTGCCTGGCTCATTTTAATGCAACTTATGAATACTTGGAAGTAGGGATGAACCCTGAATACTGGTATCGGTGCCAATACTGAGCATTTGGGGGAGTGCTCGTACTCACCCAAATGCTCCGATAGCTGAACTTCTGGTCAGAGGGAGATTCCCGTTGACTGGCAGGGCCATGAGGGAGCAATGAGTCGGCTTCACGCTACTTAGCAACACTGCAAGGGCTGCCTGACCAATCAGGAACCCAGGCGGCAGGTCATGAACCACCTGCTGATTGGCTAGGAAGCCGGCTTCACACTACTTAGCAACACTGCCTGGCTTCCCCACCAATCAGGAAGCCGGGCGGCAGGTCATGACCCACCTCCTGGCTTCCTGATTGGTTAGGAAGCCAGGCAGCATTGCTAAGCAGGAAGAAGCCAGCTCCTTAGCCAATCAGGAAGTGGGTCATGACCTGCCGTCCGGCTTCCTGATTGGTCAGGAAGCCAGTCTGCCTCACAGTGTCATGAGGGAGCGTGAAGCTTCCTGATTAGCTGGGCCCACGGTACCCCGGGATTCCGGTATCGGCACTTTTACTCAATAATTCCTGGCGAATCGGGAAGCCGGGCGGCAGGTCATGACCTGCCGTCCGGCTTCCTGATTGGTCAGGAAGCCAGTCTGCCTCACAGTGTCATGAGGGAGCGTGAAGCTTCCTGATTAGCTGGGCCCACGGTACCCCGGGATTCCGGTATCGGCACTTTTACTCAATACCGAAAAAACGCTATCAGTGCATCCCTACTTGGAAGTGTAAGGAATGCAAGACAAGTTTTCTAAAGTTCCTGGTGCAGGAGGTGGAGCCTGCATGATATAAGGAGTTTGTTAGTGTTAGGGTTTAGCTTACTGTAAGGCAGGCATTTCAAACTGATGTTTTCTTGGGGAGCATATAGCCCTCTTCAAACTCACCTTTCGAATTCCCACAAAATATACACTATATGGCTACAGACTGTGGATACCTGGCCATCATGCCTGTTAGATATCCCATTCCAAAACCACTGGCATTACAATGAAGTTGGCTCCCCTATAACAGCCGCCACTCTTCTGGAAAGGCTCCTCACAAGATTTAGGAGTGCGTCTCTGGGAATGTATACCTATTCATCCAAAAAATAAGACTTTTGGACTTACTGTAAAAGTTTTTTTAGTCTACTGAGGAACACAGAAGAACATTTTATTTGTAAGTACAAAAATCTTATTTTCTCCATCGTCGGGACATCCAAAAGCAGTCCAACTGAGAGGTGAGCAACAGCCACTGACAGGACCAAAACAAATTTGTGAACCATCCGCACCTACAGGAAGAGTAGGCAGGCATGAGATATACTGAGCCTCAGACTGGTGGACAAGAACATCAGAATCAAAAGAATGAGTAGGATTCCTTCCAACCAACCAAACTGCAAGCCACCACCTCCTATAGGGGAGATCTGCAGAGTGCCAGTGTGCTCTACCTGCTGACTGTCCAGGGCAGTACAGGCCATCTAGCATGGACACTTCTTTCCAAACAGAAACTTTAGATGATGCTTAGAATCATCTATTTGATAAATTGTTTAAACAGTTTTGCAGCATTCTGACAATTACAGGAACAACCCTGGCAGTTTGGTTGGTTGGAAGGAATCCTGCTCATTCTTCTGATTCTGGTGTTCTTGTCCACCAGTGTGAGGCTCAACACTTGGACTCTCACCTTTTAATGTAGAGACCATCCATTGAAAGGATCCAGGGGTGATGCCTTGTCTCTGGGAGAGACAGAACGGTCATGGATGTACTCCGCACCAGTAGGAACAAGGTCACTCAACCTGTAGCAGGGAGACTTACCTACCCCAACATTCTCAGAGATAAAGGTCCTGCAGCACTTAGGTGATATCCAGTGAAGATCAGGTCAGAAGACCTACTTAGAAGGAACCCACCAGTCATTGGGAACTTACTGTCCTGGGGAACTAGATGGAAGTACCAAGCATAAGGATAAGAAAATGAACCACCCCTTCAGAACCAGCAAATTGTGGCTGGGACTTTGGGTCCAAGGAGACCATCTGGATGTCTCATCCAGAGACCATGCCCCTAAACATAGAGGGGGAAGGCTAAATTAACTTTCCCTTGAAACCCTACAGCCTGAGTAAGAAGGAAGGTCTGAATGCCTACATGCTACTACTGCTGTAGTAGATGAATGAAATCCACACACCTCCTGCATTGAGAAAGGAGTATTTTCTGACTACCAGTGTCTTTGCTAATGACAGTGTCAAGAGCAGGTCCAAAGAGACGACGTAACCAAGTAAGATGTTCTTTGGTAATATCACCAGTGCCCGAGGCACATAGCTAGAGCGCCCTACACATCTGAATGGACATCAGTCCCATGTGAGATACAAGTTTTTATGCTTGTAACCTGCCATCACAGCTAAAGCACCAAGCTCCTGACATTTGTTCCAACCACTCTATGAAACGAGGGCCAACCTAAGCGATGGAGGGATTCTCTTTAAAGGAGAACTATGAGATGAGTGATTTCCACTCACCTCATAGTTCTAGCCGACCTGTGACAATGAGACTGTCACAGGTCGGCTCAGTAGATCGGGAGGTGAGCGAACACATACCGGGTTCGCTCACCTCTCGATCCTGTCACGGCTCTTTGCCATGACAGGGGGAGGGGCTGGATTCCCCTCTCCCCGCTACGATCTGCCAGCGCTGACTGGCGGAACGGACGGGGGAGGGGGCGGGTTCAGCTGGCTCTGCCTCTAGATAGGCAGAGCCAGCTGTCACTCACGCAGCTGGGCGGATCTCAACGTCCATGACGGGATCCGCTCCGGCTGCGGCGTCTCAGTATACCGCGAGCTGTAGCTCACGGTATACTGAGCTTAGGGTAACGGGAGGACGCTAGTTTGTGTCCTCCTGTTACCCTAAGGAGAACTATAGGGAACAACACTGACCCCATAGTTCTCCTTTAAGGGATGTTACCAATTCTGACAGTTTGGCATATTAAGATCACCACTAACACAGCGTGGAGAGTCACTCAAGTTAGTTTAAACTGGGACCTAAGAAGGAAATTTGACTGTCTGTGAAATCCCAAAAGATGCCTGTTAATGTGGATCACTGGAGCATTTACAGTGTGAAGACAACACTGATTAATCAACTCCCTCTCAAAGGGGAAAAGCTACAAAACACTTGAGACCCAGGGTCCTACAGGGTGTTTCCAGACCTCGTGGAGGAATGATTTAAATAGCGTGTGTAATGGAAAGATCTTTGGAGCTTTTAAAGACCTTAAAAAGTGACATTAAACCCTCAGATTATTTAACATAAAACAATAGTGTAATGTGCGCCTTACTGTAATCCATGGTAGTTTCCCTTCTCTTTGCTGCTCTTCCTTTTAAATCTGTATCTGTTCTCATGCTCTGCAGAACTTCTGTTTTGCAGCAGACTGCCTTGTCTCAGGAATGGATACACGGTGTCTGTGTATCCGTTTGTATAGGTTTGTAACCTGAGCCAGCACTACAGGAAGAGGCCCTGAGCTGAAAAGGGAAGTTCTCCCCAAGCATGAGAAGACATGAGGATTTAAAAGGAAGAGCAGCAAAGAGAAGGGAAACAACCATGTATTACAGTAAGGCACACATTACACTATTGGTTTATGTTAAAAAATCTGAGGGTTTAATGTCACTTTAAGCCTGGAATAGAAGGATGACCCTCTAGGAGTAAAGTAGAACATGTCTCTGTGGAGCTGGCTTTGTACATGGAGGCAAAGTCATGCTGGAACAAAACAGGATCTTTCCTAAACTGACAACATGGTGGGAATTACTCTATTGTTGAAAATGTCTTTCTATGCTGTAGCCTTTGATGGAAACAGCTGAACTCAATCCTTTGGAGGGCTGTGCACATACTTCTGGCCATAAGAAAATTCCCAGGTGATTGGGCCCACCAAACTTCCACATGATTGGGCCCACATATTTCCGTCCATAAGAAACTCACAGCTGATTGGGCCCACATACTTCTGGCCATAAGAAACTCCCTGGTGATTGGGCCCACCAAACTCCCAGGTGATTGGGCCCACATAATTCCGGCCATAAGAAACTCCTGGGTGATTGTGTCCACATACTTCTGGCCATAAGAAACTCCAAGGTGATTGGGCCCACCAAACTTCCAGGTGATTGGACCCACATACTCCTGGCCATGAGAAACTCCCAGGTGATTGGGCCCACCAAACTTTCAGGTGATTGGACCCACATACTCCTGGCCATGAGAAACTCCCAGGTGATTGGGCCCACCAAACTTTCAGGTGATTGGACCCACATACTCCTGGCCATGAGAAACTCCCAGGTGATTGGGCCCACCAAACTTTCAGGTGATTGGACCCACATACTCCTGGCCATGAGAAACTCCGAGGTGATTGGGCCCATCAGATTCCCAACATCACTTATTTAAAGGAAACTTTAAATAAAAAATTGAAAGAGGGAATGAAAGCTAACACCTTCTTTCTGTTGCATAACATGTAAGAGAGACAGCAGTGACAACACTACATTGTACTAATGTTCACACAAACAGGCCAAAAAAAAATGGACAACCTACATAGTGCTGAGTTTGCCTTCGCCTGCAGATATAGAAGGAACAGAAACAAATCAAGTGAGCGTACTCTTACTCAGCAGTCATATCCTGATACAGGAACCTCTCGTCTCCCGTGGGGACGGAGATAGTAGATGAGGGAGCGTCTCCTGGTGAGCCGTTTCCAACAGTCAGAACGTGAATACGGTTGTAGTCCGCGTGGACTCTAATATGCCTAGCCAGGTTTGACTTCTGCGTAAAGCCTCTTCCACACTCCGGGCACGAGTATGGTCGATGGCCGCTGTGAATTCTTTCATGTTTAGCAAGATCGTACTTGTCAGTGAAACATTTCCCACATTCCGAACATGGGAACGGCTTCTGCCCTGCGTGAACCCTCTGATGCCTAAGGAGATACTCTCTGTGGGGAAAACGCTTTCCGCATTCGGGGCATGGATATGGCTTCTCCCCTGTGTGAAGTCTTTGGTGTCTGTTGAAGTGTCCTCTCTGAGTGAAACATTTTCCACAGTCGTAGCAGAAAAACTCCTTCTCGTTGGCGTGGCTCTTCTCGTGATTGGCAAGGTGCCCTTTTTCGCCAAAGCACTTTCCGCATATAGAACACGAATAGGGCTTCTCCACCGAGTGACTTCTTTGATGATTGACAAGATGGGACTTTTCCACAAAGCATTTCCCGCAATCGGGACAGGAATGCGGCTTGTCCACTATGTGATCTCTCTGGTGTTTGAAAAGTTTTGCTTTGGCCGTAAAACATTCCCCGCATTCAGAGCACATAAACGTTTCGCCCCTTCTACGAGATGCACGGTAGGTGACAGGTGGTAAGTGACCAAGGAAGTTGCCCGCGTGGGTAGAGGGACCCGGTGATTGACCCGGACTGTGAGGTATTGTATAGGGGTTTGCACCAATGGGGGTTTCTTCGAATGAATCTCCTGTGACATCATCTTCCATATCACCGTCCGGAAAGATCGTGGGACATTTCTCCCTACTGTAGCCTGTGTATCTTCCATCTGGAGGGAAAAAAAAATAATTGAGGGTTACCCATAGAACACACTTCTGTTATTGCTCCTTTTGGTCTGTTAGATATACTATCACATGTGGATGTTACCTAGGCTGGTCTGCAGGTTCCTAAAGAATGCCCACTCCTCAAGACTGACATCCACCCACCAAGGCATTTTGATATTTGCATTATTACTTCTCTCATTCTATTTACAAGAGGCAAAGTCCTTCTCTGGGTATCTAAGTAACTGCCTGCTTGACATGGGTACTTCCTATTGGCTGTCCAGCTGTGAGGTGCTCTCAGGATCCAAAAAGGAGTCTGCAGATGTGACATCAGCAGCAAGGGGACTGTCAGGGACTGGCCGACCACGGCACATTTGCCGCACTGAATTAGAGGACACCGCACTCGGAAATGGCGCAGGCCAGGGACCCAGATAGTGGATATAAGCGACTATAACTTGCTTCACAAGGTAATACAAGATTAAACTTGCAGGATGGTTTGGGAGGGAGGGAGGAAGGATACTTTGGTCCAGGGATGGGCTTTAATAAAAAACAAATCCCAACCAGACCCGGAGGCCTGCCTGTCTGGAACCAATATGAGGTGTGCAGTACTCTGTCACTGCAAATGTAGGATCTGCCTGAGCATGGGTTTGGAACAGTTTAACGGTCACCCACGGAGGTGGATGACATGTGCAGGGCCGGTGCTAGGATTTTTGCCTACACAGGCAAAGTTGCATTTTTGCTCCCCCCAACCCCCTGTAGCGCTGGGCCTGCTCCCTATCAGCATGTTTTTTTTTCCTTCACTTACCTTCGGTGCGGGAGAGCAGCGGCGAGTCAGCGCTGGTCCGGTGGGAGGAGCTCCAGGTGGGATCCTAATTTAGCTGGCCGTCGACTGCCAGAGGTGTCGCGTGTGTCAGGATCCTCTGGCAGTCGCTGGCCAGCTAAATTAGGACCCCACCTGAAGCTCCTCCCACCGGACCAGCGCTGAGTCGCCACTGCTCTCCCGCACCGAAGGTAAGTGAAAAAAAAAAAATAGCGCAAGCATCGGGGAATTTTGACAAGTACAAGTACTTGTCAAAATGCCCTGTTTTTTCCACCCTCACCCTGCAGCGCCCTCAGGCGGCTGCTTGCCTTGCGGCAGCGCCGGGCCTGGACATGTGTGTGATGAACTGGAATGCTGAAGGTGAGCCAAGTCTTCTCATCCAACATCAGAACCTAACCTTAACCCCTTTGTGACTGACGCCCCCAGCATCGGGGCTGTTTAAACAGACTCCCGGCGACTTTTGCCGCCGGGACTCTGTTTAAACTTGTAGAGCCGACTGTCGGCTTTACAACAGAAGCGATCCTGGCGACTTACCTGTCGCCAGATCGCTTCTGTGTCCCGAAGAAGGGGCCGTGCTTCTCGGGCTCCTTTGCCCCTCCTACGGACCCGGGACCGGCGATCTTGGTGTCCGCGGGGAGCTGGGGAGGAGGTCGATAGGGGTTAATAATGCTCTTCTAGCTGACCGGGCACAAATCCAGCAGACATTATTATTATACAGGATTAATATAGCACCAACAGTTTGTGCAGCGCTTTACAATATAAGGAAGACATTACAATCACAAGACAATTCAAGACAAGATGGTAAGGAGGGCCCTGCTCCTGAGGGCTTGCAATCTAAAAGGGAGGGGCCAGTGATACATGAGGAGGGAGCTGTGTGGGGATGAATTGTTTAAGAACATGACGGCTCAGTGGTTAGGTTGAGGTGGGATAGGCTTCCCTGAAGAGATGAGTCTTTAGGGATCGCTAAAAGCCAGTCAGAGTAGGAGATAGACGGACAGGTTGGGGTAAAGAGTTCAGGAGGATGAGAGAGATTCTAGAGAAGTCTTGGAGGAGTTGACTAGGGGGAGCTGGAAAGCAGGAGGTCTTGGGAAGAGCGGAGGGGACGGTTAGGGTGATACTTTGAGACAAGGTTTGAGATATATCCGGGGGCGGAGTTGTGGATGGCTTTGTAAGTGGTTGTCACTATTTAGAATGTTATCCTTTGGGCTATTGGAAGCCAGAGGAGGGATTGGCAGAGGGGAGCGGGGGATGGAATCCAGTGGAGGAATTGGCAGAGGGGAGTGGGGGATGGAAGCCAGTGGAGGGATTGGCAGAGGGGGGTTGCAGACACTGAGCGGTTGGTTAGGTGAATGAGTCTAGCAGCTGCATTCATTTTAGACTGAAGGGGGCATAAACCTGTGTAGAGGTCGGCCAATGAGGAGGGAGTTGAAAAAGTCAAGAAGAGAGATAACAAGGGAGTGGATGAGAAGTTTTGCGGCTTCCTTGGTGAGGAAGGGGAGTATTTTGGAGATGTTAGGAAGGTGAAGGCGGCAGGGTTTGGATAGTGATTGGATGTGGGGAAGAAAGGTGAGGTCCGAGTCAAGGATGAATGGGGAGCAGGTGGTCATTTTTTGATGGGGAGCAGGTGGTCAAAAGTGGCAAAAGCAGCAGAAAGGTCCAATAGCAAGAGTAAGGAGTAGTGGGTGGTTAGAGTAAGGAGTAGCAGGTGGTTAGACTTAGGAGTAGCGGGTGGTCAGAGTAAGGAGTAGCGGGTGGTCAGAGTACGGAGTAGTGAGGGGTCAGAGTAAGGAGTAACGGGGGGGTCAGAGTAAGGAGTAGAGGGGGGGTCAGGGTAAGGAGTACCAGGTGGTCAGAGTACGGAGTAGCGAGGGGTCAGAGTAAGGAGTAGCGGGGGGGGGGGTCAGGGTAAGGAGTAGCAGATGGTCAGAGTAAGGAGTAGCGGGTGGTCAGAGTAAGGAGTAGCGGGTGATCAGAGTAAGGAGTAGCGGGTGGTAAGAGTAAGGAGTAGCGGGTGGTCAGAGTAAGGAGTAGTGGCCATTGTTTTTAGCAGTTAGTAAGTCATTAGTGAGTTTTACGAGGGCGGTTTCAGTGGAGTGTAGAGGGTGAAAGCCAGACTGTAAGGGGTCGAGAAGGTTGTTATCAGCGAGGTGGCAGCTTAGGCGGTTGTAGATGGCGTTCTAAGAGTTTGGAGGTGAATGGGAGTAAGGAGACTGTTGAGGGTGGTGGGGTCCAGTGAGGACATCCTCCAAAATCTTGAGCAAAGCCTTCTCAGAAGAATGGAGGCTCTTATAGCCATAAAGGGGGTAGGGGCAACTTTACATTAATGTCTTTGGAATGTTCAACAAACTCATATAGGTGTGATGATCAGGTGCCCACAAATCTTTGGCCATATTTATTGACCACTCACCTGTGCCGATCTCTGCACGAATTTCCTCTTTCCGACGCTGTTCCACACCCCTTCCATAACTCTTCTCTGGTGCTCCACTACTTCCAGCTTGATGCCGAGATGGTCTTTCGTCCTGCAAAGAAACAATAAGAATTTTGCCCAATTGTACGGGCTCACAAATAGACACGAGAGCTACACAGCTTCCACAGACATTTCATCTACCTGACAGTTCGATAAGATCTTGTGATTTTCCGGGGTAGAATCCCAGGAATAAAAAGGACTTCGACTTCTCTCTGGTGTATTTCTGTTATTGGATCCATCTGTGGAAACATCTTCCTCTTTACACATTGGGTCTCTCCACATATACATCCCATCGTCACTCTCCATCTCTTCCACTTTAATATTAATTAACCGTTTGCCCTAAATAATACAAAACAGTTATAAACAAGGGGTCACTTGGCCTGGGTACAAGTCATATAGCGTACTGACCAATATTCTTAACCCCTATCTACCTGTTCATCCCGGAGACCCTTCTGATGTTCCCCTGTGGAATCCCACTGGTAAAGAGGACTGGAACATCTCTTTGGTATACTTCTAACGGATGTCTGTACAGAAACTTCCCGCTCCATCTTCTGGACATCAGCCCTCAAAAATGCATTTTCTTGTCTCTCTGTGATTTCAGGTTTAAAGGTAAATGGACGCTCATTCCTATGGAGTTCAGTTCTCGAAAACTTGTCTTCTACTCTCTCCGTGATGTCAGCCTCAACATTCAACTGATGTTCACGCTTCTCTTTCCACAAGTCAGTCCTCAAAAATATGTTGTCTTCTTTCACTTTGACTTCGGCTTTAACGTCCGACTGATGTTCACGCTTCTCTTTCCACAAATCAGTCCTCGAAATGTTGTCTTCATCTTTCTCTTTGACTTCAGCTTTAACATTCAACCAATGTTCTCGCTTTTCTTTCCACCAATCAGTGCTCGAAAATTTGTTTTCTTGTCTCTCTGTGATTTCAGGTTGAAAGTTAAACCGACGCTCATTCCTATGGATTTCAGTCCTCGAAAATTTGTTGTCTTCTACTCTCTCCTTAACCTCGGCTCCAACATTCAACTGATGTTCAGGCTTCTCTTTCCACAAATCAGTCCTCGAAAATTTGTTGTCTTCTTTCTCTTTGACTTCAGTTTTAACGTTCAACTGATGTTCACGCTTCTCTTTCCACCAATCAGTCCTCGAAAATGTGTTGTCTTCTACTCTCTCCGTGACCTCAGCTCCAACATTCAACTGATGTTCACGCTTCTCTTTCCACAAACCAGTGCTCAAAATATTGTCATCTTCTTTCTCTTTGACTTCAGCTTTAACATTCAACTGACATTCATGTTGCTTCAGTACATCAGTCCTTAAAAATTTGTCTACTCTCTCTGTGTCTTCAGATTTAACGGTCAACTGATGTTCACGCTTAACGGCAGAAACAAAAACAGAAAAGGTAGAAGGTTTGCTAGGCATTTGGGTAAATCATGCAGCATATCTGTGAAGACTCTTTCCTTTACCTGATCGTCATATGAGACCTTGTGATGTTCCTGTGCAGAATTCAGGGAATTAACACATTTCTGTTGTGTGTTTTTGCTGATGGATCCATCTGTGGGAACGT